ACGGATAATTTATTATTTGAATGTGAAAAATCATGGCTGATTTGGACTTCATGCTACAATTGGTGGGGCATACAGGTTGTATCACAAAGAACAGGCTGGAAACATATGTCACAACATTTTGACTTAATATCTAGCAAATCCTTACAGAAGGCATGGGCAGTGGTCTAGTTTTGCATTGTATGGTCCTTATGGTTATGGAGAAATGGCCAAATCTTTCAGGAGGAGGCAACTACAATGGAAAAGGTAATAGAGCTTGTCAAATGCCGATCTTTTTTTTGGATTAAAGTTAGTATCTGTTCTGATCTTAATTGGAATTCATGGCTAAGATCACCAATGGAAGCATGTAGGTTGAGGAATTAATCCTTGATTTGACTTCTTATATCTCTATTTTTGTGGTCTAAATCAATGAAGTTATAAGCTAATATGGGAGAAACTCTCAATGTACATAGCTTTGAGGTACTACTTGTACTCCTATCAATAAAAATTCTTTTTGCTAATAAAAAAAGTATATATAAAAACATTATTGAAAGTTACGTACTAATAAAAAGAAACATAAGGATTACAATTTTTTTTATCCAAAGTACCGCATAAGGTCAATACAAGTGTAAATAGTGATAATATAGATTCAACCATATAAGAAATTTTAAAAAAATAAAAAATAAAAAACAAATTGAAGAAACCTACCGTTTACCAAAGTCAAATCCACAACCTCAAGCTATTTAATTCTTAAGAAATGGTAAGACAGAACTCCCCCATGTGGCCAGTAGATGGGCCACATTCCTTCACGAAGAGCAGGTGAAGTTCGCTCGAATTTAATTCTATTGCTGACCTGAACAGATACTAACTTCTAATCAATGTTTTCCTTGTTAAAAAAAAAAAGAAGAAGAAGAAATGATAAGACAAGATATTTCATCTTGAATTATTATAATTAATTTATACAATAACTTCTTGTTCCCCGGAATTCAAAAGTACTATATTATCAAAAAAAAAAAATCAAAAAGACAAAAATGTTGTAAGACATTGAAGTAGTACTGGAATTCTTTATTTCAATTGGTGAAGATGACTGACCCAGTGACCATATTTCATCAATTAACATTGGATTTGCATAGTAAATTAGGTTGGTGATTGCAAGACAAAAGAGTGGGGTGACCGACTGGTGAGTAGATGAGGCATCAAACAAAACTTTGAATGTGAAATTGATGTCTAAGTTAAATGAGGGTGTGGACCAAGAACTAGGAGGTAGTGAGTGGGAATAAAGATAATGAAGCATTAATTATTAGGTGAAGGCAGCAAAATATGTGTGCATTTAAGACACCTGAATTCTTGGTCCTCAAACGCATTCAATATTGATTTCAAGGCTCGATGCTGGACAAAAAACTTGTCTCCCTTCCCCACTTTGTCAACCTCATGTCCAACGTCAACTCTACTAACTAATCGTACAGTATCTCTTAAGTTAAAATCCCTTCTTTCTTTCCCCCTACTCCCATGGTGCCACATTCGTACTTTACAATTCTTATTTTTCTTAATATACAAAAGTTTTCTAAATTTAGGTCATGCTACGATGCTAAGGGTCCATGCTCTTTTTTTTTTTTTTGTCAAAAAAGAAATACCACTAGAAGAAGAAGAAAAAAAAGAAGGAATATTGGGTTAAATGGTGTTCAAATGGAGCAGCACGCCAAGATAAAACGCACATCCTGTTGCTAAAATTAGATTCTGTATCTGTAGGCGTGGAGGCAAAGGCTGGCAAACTCCACCCACCATTTCCTTCCAACATTATTATTATTAGGCTCTCCTTTCATTGCCCATGATACCAATACTCCATATTGGGTGTATTATTTTATAATTTAAACTGTAAAATAAAAATTATTTAATAAGTAAAAAACTCTTAATACGGGTATTTATCTCCCATCAAATAATTAATGTTTTACAGTTCAGATAATAAAATACTTTTTCACTTCTTATTGATCATTTCATACATAATAAAAAGCCTTGATTAATGTAGAGAAAAGTGAAAATTAAGATGTTGTATTTTAAGTGTCAAAACTATCAATAAAATTATTTAAATATTCTTAATGAATTTTCATTGTGTGTTAATTAATTAAAAGCATTTTAATATTTAGTGGAAAGTATTGATTTTCCCTTAATCCCATTAATGTATCACACCTACTAATAAATTCAAAATCTTATAGTAGCAGAGACATTACTTAATAGGAGTAGTACTATGACTAATTGGGGTTGTCCAAGATCCAAATCAACCTTTTGGTGCATGTTATGTTTGGTAATGCAATTTGAAACAAATGCATAAAGTGTTGTTGAAACATTCAAATCTCCATGCGTTACAAGACAACAACAGCCAATGTCCCAAGAAACTAGCACCAAACTTTGTCAATAGCGACTCAGCACCCATTGCCTCTTAATCTTCCAAGTTATATTCTTTTCTATGCTGATTAAGAAAAGATATTGTCACTTTGTAACTTCGAATTTCAGGGCTCAATTTTTTTTAGATTCTTTCTCTCACCCAGTGTCCATTCCCTTTCTATTCTTCTGTTCTGCCTTCTATTCTATTCCCTTTTTTTTTCTCTCTCTCTCTCCCATAAGACGTTCCATCCTATTATTCTATCCCCATTGTATATACCAAATTAGTTTCTTAAGCACTACTGTTGTTAAGATTCAATATAATGTCGAAAGTAACCTTAATTGTCAACTAATGGCATGGTTATTTCGTGGAATTAGTAAATAAAGCTGCTGATTAGAATGAAATTGGACGGTCCAACTAACTTTTAAGAGATTATGGTGAGACGAAAGTAATACTAGAAAAGATACATAAAGATGAGGGTCTAGGGGCTTTTTGCTGTTCGATTCAAAACTCAAAATCAATCAAGCAAAACATCGTATAAAATATACTTAAAGTGATTGTTTATTTTGTTACATTTGAAGGAAGCAACCAAAATAAGTATAATTTTATGAAGCTAGCTAAGAATAGTTAATTGTAAGAAATATGTATTTTTTTTTTATTA